TTCTTTTATGTGCCAATTCCCTCCAGGACATAGGCGATCATGGCTCTCTACAACTTCCTGTCTTTAGTTGCTCCAAGTAATTTTTGCTTGTCTATCATACCTCTTTGACTTTGTTCTACCATCCATTCACTGAAACAAGTAGATTACTGTCTCACTACGTCTTCTGAGTGTTAAGCCTTCTTTTCTCAGAAAATGTCAACTTCTGATTGTAAGTATAATTTTAATCGTACTTCCTATTTTTGTTAAAACTTCCACTTTAGTCGCATGTCCGTCGCTTCAGAAAAAGCTCAACACTCGCTACTATACAGAAGAAAACACATAACTGTTAAACACTCTTATTTTATCCTATGATATTTTCCTATGTTTTAATACTTTGCTTAGTTTCTGAAAGGCATATTTCGTTCTTTTTAGGCGCCTTCGAATATCTCTTTCGCTTGTTAATTCACTACCCAGAAAGCTGAATTTCTGTACCTGCTTGATTCCGATATTATTAATATGTAGTGCACCCTTTGACCGTTTCTTTTGTTAAGAACAACATGAAGACAATGCTCCAAAACGGGAAAGTTACGTAATTACTCTTACTTTGTGCTTGAGAGAGTATAGTAGTGAAGACGTTACGTAATCGCCTTGACAGAATTCAAAAGTAACTTTACACGGTCTTATGGATGATGAATTATTTTCTATCTTACCAACCTTCTCCCACAGAAAAAAAAATATCGCTAGCCTCTAACTACTCGATCGCTATTTTTATGGCTGATATTCAGGCGAGCTACAATCCTTAGTTATTTTTACAGTGTTTGTTCACCCTGTACATGGCATGAGAGCCACTCGAGGTAAAGTGTTACAGAGCAAGAGGCAAAACTTATGCGGATTTGAGTGGAAGATAACAGTTAACCCTAGACTTGAACAAGTTAGGATTGTGGTGATCGGGGCAGCAATCTCTTGGAGGTCGGTTCCACAGCCACAAGGTAGTAGTTCATAGGGAAACCCACTCGAGTGGAACTTACATCTAACCAAGAGAATACGAGGGGAATGAGTGTGGTTCGCTACAAGGGGCGTGGCATGGCTGTGAAGGTTAGGGCCGGTGAAACTATGTAGTGTGGTTCATATGAACACTCTCCATGGAAATAGCGACAGGATTCTACACCTTCACAATTAGGCGCGGCCATGTTACATACAAGGAGAAGGATCATCTTCATTCTCGTTGTATTCCATTGGTAAGGAGAAAGTTAAACTTCCTATGAAGTTAAACTTCCTATGAAGTGATACTTGTGGAACAGACTCCCGAAAAGATGCTTCCTTCAATCTTAACTTCTTCAAGTCTAAGGCCAACCGTTAACTATACTTCATTCTTTTTATGTGCCGTGTCCTTTCAAGACGTGGGCGATCATGGCTCTCTACCTCTCTCTATCCCTTGCAGTTCTCAGGAAGCTCCTTCCCTCTGCTTCCTTCCCCAGACCACGTTCTGTCATCCACCTGCTCATGCTCGCCAGGTATGTTACGCGCTGCTTTCCCTTGTTCCACTTCCCTTCTATTCGACCCGTGAGTATCAGGTACTCCAGGCCCTCCTTCCTCATTAAGTGTCTCAGGAACTTCAGCTGCCTCTTTCTGATGTTATTTGAAACCGCTCTAAGACCTCATCGTTGCTCACACGCTCGGTCCATGCTATCCTTAGCATCCTACTGTAGAACCACATCTCCGTCGCCTCGAGTCTCTTCTCCATCTTTGAGGAAATCGTCCAACATTCGCTGCCGTAAAGAAGGACAGATGTCACGTAACAGCTGAGTATTCTTTTCTTTGCTGTTTTCCCTTGTCTCTCTTTCCCTCTATTCGACCCGTGAGTATCAGATTCTCCAGGACCTCCTTCCTCATTATGTGTCCCAGAAACTTCAGCTGCCTCTTCCTGATGTTAGCCATAAGCCTTCTCCTTGTTTGCATCCTTCTAAAGCCCTCATCGTTGCTCACACGTTCGGTCCATGATATCCTTAGCATCCTTCTGTAGAACCACGCATCTGTCGCCTCGAGTCTTTTCTTCATCTTTGAGGAAATCGTCCAACATTCGCTGCCGTAAAGAAGGACAGATGTCACGTAACAGCTCAGTATTCTTTTCTTTGTTACCAAAGAAATCCTCCTGTCTCGCAATACTCTGCCCAGCTTTTGGAATGTGTCCTTGGCCCTCCCAATACGTCTACGGATCTCGGCGTTGCACTTACCATCTTCTGTCAAGGCAGTTCCCAGATATTTAAACTTCTGCGTCTGCTTGATTCTAGTTTTTCCGACCTGCAAATCGCATTTCGGGCTCTTCCTCTTACTGATGACCATGCATTCTGTCTTCTTGTAGTTTATACTTAGTTCTTTCTTCTCACTCTCCGTCGCTACCTTCTGTAGATTTTGTAATTTCTCTTCTGTGTCTGCTATCAGTGCTGTGTCGTCTGTGTATCTTATGCTGTTAAGGTTGTGGCTGCCAATGTTGAATCCCGGTAGGGTTTCCATTTCTCTC